TATGACCCCTCTTCCCTCCCCCCAGACAAAAACAGTTGATATTTTATAGCTTCTCTAACTTCTCTAGCTTCTCTAGACAATAAACAGTTGGTCTAAATTGACTTGAAGCCGATCTCCACCCCTCTTCCTATGGGTGATTTTGTATTGAAGATTGAACTCTAGATAATTATTTGATTTTCAGGGTATCTACCCCTCCCACTGTGTTTAATCTAGTAATTACTGAACTTTTTCTAATGTTCTGAAGTTAATAAGGCCTAGCCACCCCTCTCCCCAACAGCAATTTTGTCATCATTGATGTCTTTTTGACTTTCATTTATTCAATAACTCCCCACCCCTCTCCCCGTGAACAGCATAACTGTATATCTTCTATTATTATTCTAGGGCTTCCCACCCCTCCCTCCCCCATCATTTGTACCAAGAGTGACAGTTAAAGATGATGATGGTGACCATGTTGCATCATGGGATACAGAAGAATCTGGAAAAATAAACAATGGTATTGATATGCAAGATGAAGTCGTTGACGASGATGAYGACGATGCTTCTCTYCCTCCTGGTGTTATATTTGTGTCTACKTTGCCWGATGAKCTCATGTCTGGCACTGATCACGACAGAGAAAGACTCCTTAACACTATCAACAAAAAAGGTACTCGATGGGATTCCTGTGGCTCAATGTCCCTCTTTCAAATAGCCGACTTGCRAATTTTACCTCACTAGTCAAACACAAAGAAATCATGACGAGGTGCCGTGCATAAAGCTCAGTCGTTTGTGAAAAGACAATAGTTTTTCACGATTGACTGAGCTTTACGCACGGCGTCTCGTCTTGATTCTTTTGTTTTTGACTACTGAGGCGAAATTCGCAAGTTTTCTATTCCCAGGCTTTCTCAGTCTGCCCACTGTTAGGCTCTGGGAAGGTTGTTTTATTTCTCAAAAGGAAACACTCGCAAGAGATATCAGTGATTTCTTTAGTGCCTTTTTCCTAAAATTATACCAGTTTAACTCATGTTGGGRTTCCTGTGGKTGATTTATTACTGCAAGCGTTCATGGGATCCCTGTGTTGTATAATCATTGGTCTAATTGTWTTAAATGTATCGTTGATATCAGATATACATGAATATGTACCAAGTAATGCTGTCCTTTGCACTGGTATAACAGGTACAACATCAAGTAAGTACAAGAATCCCTATGAAATACTAATGTGCACACAGCCAATGGAAAATTCCTGTAAATAATGCAAAATTATATACTCTTGCTTAGAAATCTATTGTAAAAATAAAAATACAAGTGAAAGCTTTGTCATTTTTATATAGTTGTTATAATAATAAAAAAGTTTGATGCAATTTTAATTGTACTGGACGTATTGATATTTTTTGTTCTTCCAGTTGTAAATAATAGAACTCAAACSGACTTGTCTGAGAGAAACCAGTGTCATCTCACTAAGCCATCAATCAAACCAGTATCAAGATCGACAGGCTCTATCAAACAAGGTGATTAGAATGAAACTATTGTTTTTTGAGATCGCATGGGCTCATCATCATTATTTTCATCA